TTTCAGCATTTCATGGTGGGTTTGGAGATCACCACCCTGGAGGCCACTGAGCCCAGGCTAGGAGGGACAGAGAAAGCTGGGACTTGGGGTAGAGGGGAGGGCAGGGCGGATTTGAGAGAAACACTTCAAGTACAGGGTGGAGGGCAGACTAGTGATGAGAGGTTGGTGTCAGGGGCAGGACCAGCCACTTGGCCTTTCTTGCTGATCCTCAAGCAAGCACGAGGACAGACCACCATGACAATGTCTCCCAGGGATCCAACCACATATACCCCAACCATGAAGTACAGCTAATGGTTAAATATCCCATTCTGCAGGAGTAAAGAACCATCATGTCACCTGGTAATTTGGAGGTCTCCTGGGTTAACTGCTGGTGATCCCGGTCTCCCCACGCTCTGCCTAAACAACTGATTTTCTGAACGTCTCTTGACACTTATGCTCATTGCAGCTCATCATTCTTTTCAACTGTATTTCCAGCCTATCACAGTCTTTGGGATCTTAATCCTGGCTGCGTGGAGAGGTTTTCCTGCCAGACAAACAACACAGGCAAATTTCCTCATGTGCCTTCTGTGTCTCCATCCAGATCCCTCGTTAATGCTCAGAGCACAGTAGCCCTGTGTCTCTCCAGACTGAGACTAATTTCTATGAACGCTCAACAACAGCTTTCAAGTGAGCAACCTCTCCTATCACGCAGCATGTAAATATCTGCATTGCTTGTCTTGACATTACCCAGCTGCACACCTGGCTGAGCTCAGGAAACCATGGTGGGGCTGTCGTGCCTGTACAGAGTGGGGGCCTACCTTCAAGGGGCTCTCACCCTGCTGGGGAGTGGAAATGAGCATTTGTGAGGAAACACTCAGAAATACAAGGCCAAATATGGTCAATTCCCGGGAGTGACAGAGATCCCCAGGAAACTCATGAATGGACCAATGAGCAATTATTCGCTCAACAAACCTTCCTAATAGCAGAGCAACAACAGAGTTGGCCCTTGAGAGCCTACCTCATGCCTGGGCTGTGTACTCTGTTATTGTCTTAAAGCCTTGCAATGATCTTCATGAGGTCTATGCTACTGCCCTGGTATGAGAGAGGAACCAGGCTCAGAAAGTCACACATCTAGGGCATGGTGTTGAGCCCAGTGCAGGCTACCTCTGAAACCCATGATGCTCTGAACTGCCCTGAGGCCCATTCATGATTCTGCCACTGGGGCTGCCATGGCCCACGAGAAATAGGCCTGTTCTTGGAGCATGACCTGAGGTCCACATTAAGGGTAGATGCCAAGCATGCCATCTTGGAGCCTTGTGGAAAACGATGATGGGTCTGGCTTGGCAGGACCTCTGGTTGGGTCTACTCATACCGCAGGGTGGAATCCAAAGCCAAACCCAGCCACACCAGGACCTGACAAGAGTGAAGTGCCTCACCCGTGTTCCTACAGCACATTTACCCCACAGCAGGCAGCACTGAGCCCCCACACACAAAGGAGGGGGGATCCCTTGACCCCTGGGCCTGAGGAATTCTCTCAGATTCATTCTCTCTGAAAGAGGAAAATGATGACAATTACTCTGCCTCCTGGAGGCACAGAAGGAAGGCCACGTCACCATTATGTGTTTGGGTTTATTCCCCGACGGCCAGAGCAACGCTGATTCCTGTCTTGGGTGGACATCAGCTGGAGCGCCTTGCCCAGCTGTAATCCAACACACAGCAGGTGTCAACAACACATGCCATGGTCCTGGTGAGGAGATGGCTGCTGATCGTGACTGTTCATGAAACCAACAGGGAGAAAAGAACCAGGAGGCAGGTTCAAGACGCCAGGCCAATGGCTGGGGAAGCTAGAAAGGCAGTGAGGAGCTCAAAGGCGGGGAAGGAAGTCACGCAGGAGGCAAGAATTGAGGGTGAAGGAGTCAGGTGCAGGCATTCACTGCCTGAGACCAGCCGGCCCAGGTCGCCGATGGGGACACCATGGCAGCCCAGGCCCTGTGCATTAGGGGGAGTGGGGACAAGAGGGTTGTTTCTGCAGTACTCCAGATATATAGATATTTCTGGAGACAGGGACCGCCTTCTCAGAAGATAGGCTGCCAGAAGGTCTAGGCCATGCAGCCCCAGCCTGGCTTTATACCATCTGCCCTACTGTGCCTGCCTGGCAGGCCCAGGCTGAAGAAACGGCCCTGCTTAGGGGAGGACTGTACAATCTGCGAAGCACAAGAACTTGTTCCCTCCTTACAGATCCACCCGGGTCAAGCACGAGGCCAAGATCTGCCTCAGTGGGAAGTCAAGTTCAAACTCTGCGGAAGACCTGAGCTCCAACCACTTGGATCTCAGAGGCTTGCTCAGCCTCTTGGAGGGAAGACAGCCTGAACTTGGGAACCCCTGAATCCACCCCTAAGGCTACAAGGGGCCAGAGCCACCCACGCACTTCAAAAAGGAACTTATCCAGAAACAGTGAGACATGGTCTCAGGAAATACACATTTGGGGCTTCTTGTCTACAGTGGTGGCTAAGCAAGCAGCCAGGAGTCCACTTCGGAGCAGGTCAGGGTGCAGAGCTGCAGCCCAGGTGTCGAGGGCCATGGCATGTGGCCAGGCAGCTGCCCGGGAGCTACCCTGCCCAGGAAGGAGCAGGGTCCAGAGGAGCAAGGCCCCTGCCACGGTGGCTTCGGGGGGGGGGGGGCTCTGCCAATGCTCCTGGGAGGGCAGCTGAGCACCCCTGTGCCTTGAGCGTCCTCAGGGCATCCAATCTGAGGAGACACATGAAGGGATCAGGAGCCATGTTGAGAGCAGAGGTGGGACTGTCACTGGAGGTATGAGGCATGGAGGGCTTTCAGGCCAGCGGAGGAAGGAGTCTGCCTCGAGGGAGACATGTTCGAAAGCATCTCCAATGGCTGGGCACTAAGGCCCTGGGGAGGCATGGACAGGCCATCTGCCATTTGGGTACATCTGTGGAACCAAAGGGAATCATAGTGCACCCAGCTGACAGGCTTCCCAGCCCTGACCCCAAGCCCAGCCTGCCCGATGATGCCCAAGCCCTTCCAGAGGGCAGGCAGCTGACGGGCCTGACCTGGCCTTCCCCAGAGGGTGCCTGTGACCTGCCGAGGCATTCCTTAGGTCCTTAAGCTGCACTCTAAAGTACACAAATGTCAACTGCACACCAGTTTACAGCTGCACACAACTGTGAACCACTCCCGAGACTAAGATATCAACACCCCAGCATTCCAAAGGCATCCCTCCCTGCAGAGGCCCCACGGCAAGTGAAAACCATATATACTCTTTGGTGTCTGGCTTCTTTCAAAAGGTTTGTCTCTGAGATTCAGTCATGCTTGGAAATGTAGTAGTCTATCATTCATTTCCTCTACTGGGTAGTATTCCATCATATGGACATACCTCCTTTTACTTATCCATTCTGCTGCTGATGGATGGACATTTGCAGCATATCCAGTGTGAGGCCATCACAATAAAGTTTCTGTAAGCATTTCTGCATATGTGTTTGAGTATCCTTGTAAGTCGGCCAAGGAAAACAAGTTCCATAGGCTACCAATGCCCGCAAAGCCAGATTTCTCACTTCTAGACTGCACCGCAAGAGTCACTCTTGATACCAGGTTTATGTAAGCAGCAGGATAGGAAAGAAAATACCCGTGGAAACTGGAACAAATGCCCAAGTGGAAGCTTACACGGTGTTGGAGGAGGAGGTTTGACTTGTACAGTGCATGACAGAGGGGTGTGTCTGAGCATGTGTGTGAGTCCATTTGGGAGTTTGTGACTGTGTGAGCACTGCATGTGCTGTGTGTGGACCTACTGTTACTGTGTGACACAGTCTCGGGATCTCCTGGGCAGTCTGTCCAAAATTACTGTGAGAACCACTCATCCAGACCATTTAGAGAAAGTAGAGGAAGTGAGCAGAGATGAGGCTAGAAAAATAGATTAGGAGCAAACTGCATTCAAAGTGGTGAATACTTTACTATAGCATTTGGACTTTATCCTGTAGGTGACAGGAATCACTAGACGTGTAGAACAAACACCCAGTGGCACCCACGCACCACTCAGCAGGCATGGCAAGGCCAGCTGCATCACTGAGCAGCATGTGGAACCCTGCACCAGGCTGAATGAACTACAGTTTGCTAGTGGGGGGAGCCGGAGGGTAGGGCAGTGAAGGGCTGAGTCTGTGTTCATGTTCTGGCTCTGCCATTTATCAGCGAGGGGACCTTTCTATTTGCTCTATTTGCTCATCTGTAATGTGGGGACATTCCTGGCTTTCATATACCAGAGTTGTTGGGAAAATAAAATGAGCAAGTACTTGAAAGTGTTTGTCACACAGTCAGCAATAGCTGAAATGATTCTCAGGATAACTTCAGTGGTTAATAGATGAAGCATGTATTGGCTCATGAGTGTACACATGTGACTTGCACTGACAAATGGCACACGTACACACGATGGGCAAACACTCCAGCACACAAACAGCAAACAGTGGTTTACAAATCAGACATTCTAAGATGCTCCCAGCTCAGCCACTGCTCATAACTTACTCATTGGAAACCAAGTGCTCCTCAGTTATAGAAAGGAGACAGGAAATTAACAGGCCCCAAGTCATCTTGGCTTCAGGGACTCGCAGCTGGGTGAGCTGCCTGGTCACCAAGTCCTCGGAGGACTGCAAACGGCCCGCCACAGCCGTTCTTGCAGTGACACGGGGAATGCTGCCTTATCTGGGCTTGGGAGACAAGAGCAGCAGTACCTAGGAGAGTCTGGGGAAGCGGGTGCCAGCACAGGATTTCTGTGAGAAGTGGGGAAAGCCCACATCTGTGATGCCCACACAGTATGATGGTCTGCAGCCAGGCCGGGACAGACGACTGGAGGAGCCGAGGCAGTTCTCCTAGCACTGGCACAGCAGTCTGAACAAAACCCAACACAGTCTCCATCCGCCTCTCCGCAGGCCAGGAGCCCGCCCCTGCCCCTTGCCCCACCTGGTGAAACAGACAGCAGGGTGGAAGAGGAAGCCCATCTGAGAGCATAGTCTTACCTCCACGTACAGCAAGGGGAAGATCCCAATCTTGTCTCCCAGCATGCCTTCTGCCCAGTTGTCATCCACTCTTCTGATGACAGTCAGGATCTCGTCCTGGGGTTGCCGCAGCCCACCATGCACACAAATACATGGACATGTAACAAACACAACAAAAACAGAGACAGTCAGTACTGCAGGAGCTAGGAAAAGATCCCAAGCAATGATGTAAATAATAGTTTATTATCTATTCTGGGATCTGACATATGAAAAGTCTGCCCTTACATCTTCACCCATGGTCTCCTTCTTTCTCTCTTACATATTGATTATAGCTGCAAAAATCCTCAAATAGAAAAGCGTGGCAATTTACAATATGGTTAGTATTTTAAAATTCATGTTCCTATGACTTATTTACTGAAATAAAATTATTTTGAATAAAAATAAATTCAGCAAATATAAATCTTTTTAAGTTTCTGGCTCCATCCACGAACAAAAAAATGACCCAATCCAATTCCATTTATTTCGAGTCATGGGTACAAAAAGCTTTGGATAACCCTCTTAAATTCTTTGGCAATGCAGACGATGCCAAGTATAGATGCACAAAGTGGAAACAGATGGAATGAGAAAGGAAGAGGCATAAAGCACGGAGGAAGAGGAGCTTTCCGGGGAGACTGGCAGCTTGGTGGTTGTGAGAAAGGTCACGCCCAGGATGCCATCAGCGTGCCAGGAGCTGCAGGGACAAATGACAAGGGGTGCAGATAGGAGGGTGGGAGAGAGAAAGTGATGGGAGAGCAAAAGAGGGAATCCACCAGGGAAGAGGACTGGGGATGAGAGATAACAAGGGGCAGCATCAAGTGTCAAGAGGGCCAGACAGGGATCTCACAGGCAAAATGGTGCCTCCATCAGCAGTCTGTGGCTGGCCTCTATTCCCTCTCCAGTATCCATCCTCCTCATACTAAGCAAGGTTTATAATGGAACCCCTCAAAGACTGTCTGCCAAACCACCCTCTCTCCCCCTGCCCTGCCACATTAAAACCTTCCTGTCATTTGTCCCTCAGCAAAATCTGCTAGGGGACTACCTTGCCCATCTGGGGCTTGTGCTTAGGAGCTGATGGTCAGCCTAATGGGGTAGCCCCTCATGGATTTGAAGGTACCATCTGAGTCTTTAATACTTTCATATGAAAGCAATGAATCTTCCAGTGTGGAGCTGAGTCCTCCAAGAGTCTTCAGTACTTTAATATGAAGCAGCAATATGGGACTTGGAGGCTTCTCTCATGTCAGAGACACATTTTAGGCCACCACACTTCATGAAATTATCAGAAAAGGTGGCTTATCTGTAAGCTAAGGGACCACACATTTTTGGGGTGTTCATCTGGGTCAAGGTAGAGTGATCTAATGAGAGTCGGATATGCCTTTTAGAGAACACAGATAGGGAAAAGCAAGGGTGAGTGTCTGTCAGAGAAGCTCCCCATGGTCTATTTCAAACCTCTCCTCACCTGCTCCTCACAGAGGAGAGTCGAGGAGCAATCATACCCCTCATTTTCTCTGCCCTCATCCCCAACCTCCCAGTTTAAAAAAAAATCAAATAACAAAATAATCTATGACTTCAGAGTATTTCTTCTCTCAATTGATACAAGCCAGAAAAACACAATAGACACTACAAGGGGAAAATATCATTTCACATGTTACAGGGTAGGTGGTTCTTAGGCTACAGAACGATATTTGTAAGGGTTCCCTTCTAGCTCAGGAATTAGAATGTACAGGCTTTTCTGTAATCGTTGGGCCAAAGCAGCCAACTGTCATGAGGAGAGATGGAGAGAATGCCCCTGAACTCCCATGCCTTGCTCACCTCACAAGTTCAAAACTGGTGAGAGTCCTGGGCCTGTGATGAACTCAACTCAGATCTAGCCAAAGGGAGGCCCTTAGGATGTGTGCTGATCATACAAAGGGAAAGGTAATTGAAGGTTTCCTACATGTCAGAGTTTTTGCAACAATAAAATAGCACCAAAAAAGGGCATTTAATTTTGTAAAATTCAAAAGAAGAAAGTGCCAGGTTAATTTTGGTTAAAAACCCGAAAATACCGGGGGAATCCCTGGGTGGCTCAGCGGTTTAGCGCCTGCCTTTGGCCCAGGGCACGATCCTGGAGTCCCGGGATCAAGTCCCGCATCAGGCTCCCAGCATGGAGCCTGCTTCTCCCTCCTCCTGTCTCTGTCTCTGTCTCTCTCATAAATAAATAAATAAATAAATAAATAAATAAATAAATAAATAAATAAATATAAATAAATCTTTAAAAAAACCCCAGAAAATACCATATTATCCACACTATTACTTAGGACTGGTCTAGACATTAGAGCCAAAGAAATAAAAGAATATAAGACAGAAAGCATGAATATTGGAAAGAAGGTATAAAAAATTTTACCTAGAAAAAAACAGTATCAACTAAAATTAGAATAAACAAATTTGAGAAATACTGCAAATTTTATTTATTTATTTATTTTTACGGGTCCCAAGGCTTTCTTCTTCTTCTTTTTTTTTTAATGCAGTAATTCCTTTATTCTGCAAATGCAAGAAGTTGATTTCTCATCCAGTTGTTGCTAGCTTGTCCCTAGGACTCACAAACCCCATCATTTTACCATAATCTTGAGATGCTTACACTTTTGTTTTGTTTTTTATTAGCTTCAGTAGAATTTAGTGATTCATCAGTTGCATATAGCACTCAGTGCTCATTAGATCAAATGCCCTCCTTAATGCCCATCACCCAATTACCCCATCCCTCTACCCACCTCTCCTCCAGCAACCCTCAGTTTGTTTCCTATAGTTAAGAGTTTCTTATGGTTTGTCTTCCTCTCTGATTTCATCTTATTTTATTTTTCCTTCCCTTCCTCCATGTTCATCTATTTTGTTTCTTTAATTCCACATATGAGAAAAATCATACGGTACTTGTCTTTCTCTGAGATACTCACATCTTAACCCAAAAGGGCAGGGTGGTTAGTGCAATGCTGGTTTGCTTTACTAGGGGAAGCAATATTGTTGTACATAGGATTGTGCCAATAACTTTGATTCTATTCTGAAGAAGATCATTTGTAGGCAGGTTAGAAGAGGGTCAGGCTTTCTTTATTGGTGAGCAGGCAGGTTGCAGGTGAGTCGGGAGCTGGGGAGCAGCTGGGGAGCAGCTGGGGAGGGGGTCCTGTGGCTGCTTTAATGGCAGACCCGCAGCCCTGGTGGCCAGATGACTCCCCTGCAACCAGGTGTGGACGGCAGGAGCGGGGAGGGGCGGGCAGGGCCGCCAGCAGCCACATGGTCAGAGGCCTGACGCACAACACAGACCCCAAGGCAACCCGCCAACACGGACTCAGGCAGGCAGGACGCTTGGCGCAGTGGGCAGCGCGTCAGTCTCATAATCTGAATACTGCAAATTTTAAAATACATACATAAAAATCATTGGTTTACTCACATACCAGCAATAGTAAGTTAGAGAATATGATTAAAATTGTCTATTTAAAAATTTCTCTAATACACCATATATGCCAAAATGAATTACATTAAAGATTTAAATGTTAGAAAAAAAACTCAAATGCCCAAGAAGTAAATATGAATTGGTGTTTAATCCTAGCTAGGGAAGGCCTTTTGAAGTATTATAACAATGATTTGGCTACACACAAAAATGAAATTCTCTATAATAAAAACAGCAAAAACAAAACAAAAAGGCAAAAAAACCCTAGAAAAAACTTGGAGAATCTATGAGAAACAACAATTTAATATCAATACTACATAAAACGTAAAGATACAATAGAAGAAAAAGACAAATACCTTTAAAGAAAAATAGGCCAAGGGCAAGAATGAGACAACTCACAAAAAAGAAGAAAAGTAAATTTGCCATTCAACATATTTTTAAAAGTTATACCTCACAAAACAATACAATTGTAAACAAGAAGAGTTTTTTTTTTTCTTCAATGTTCTATTTGGCCTATCAAACTAGCAAAAAAGAACATAAAGTGTTGGTTGGCATGCAGGGAATAGGCACTTTATCATTTCTGGTGAAGACATAAATTTATAGCAGGCAGTTCGGCAATTTCTATCAAATATCAAAGCCTGCATACCCACTGATCTAACAAGAGCACTTCTAGAGACTTTACCCTAGGAAAATCAAAGATGTGCAAAAAGATTTAGCTCTGAGAATGTTCATTACAGTATTGTTCAATTAGATAGAAACTAAAGACAAATGCCCAGCAAAAGAGGTCTTGTTAACTAAATTATGATAGTGCCCTCCAATACTATCCCCACCTCTGGCCCACTCTAGCCATCTTGTGCTACATAAGGAGACAAGAGGAAAATGGAGACATCTACATGGAGTTCACAGTTTAACATATAGGTTCCTTAAAAGACTAAGATCCGATAATAGGACCATAGGACTATACGGTGCTCCCCCCCTCCCTAAACACCACCATATTACTAAAGGCCAATTTATAGCAGTTCTTTTTACCTAGTACGTTATACCTGGCTATCAAGGGGAAAAAAAGTATTACTGGACATACTAAAAGGCGAAACAAAACAAAAACCAAAAATACAGTTTGAAGAGACAGAACAAGCATCAGAACAAAACCAGACTCAGACAAAGCACGGATGTTTGGAACTATCAGATGGGGAATTTAAAACAACTCTGATTAATATGCTAAGGGCTATAAAGGATTAACTGTACAGCATGCAAGAACAGATGGGCAATGTAAGTAGAGAGACAGAAAGTCTAAGAAAGAAACAAAAAGTAATGCTAGAGATAAAAACACCATCATAGAAATGAAAAATCTTTAGATAGGCTAATTAGTACTCTGAACATTGTCAAGGAAAGAATCTTTGACTCTAAGGATATCTCAATAGAAACCTCCAAAACTGAAAAGCAAAGAGAACAAAGACTAGAAAAAAAAGAACAGGATGTGAGATACCTACAAAATGTGTAATGTATGCATAATGGAAATATCACAAGGAGAAGAAAAAAGGAAAGGAAAGGAAAGGAAAAGAAAGGAAATGAAGGGAGGAAATAGAAGACATATTTGACACAATAATGACTGAGAATTTCTCCAAATTAATGTCAGACATCAAACTACAGACCCAGGAAGTTC